ATCTCACATAACTCCCAAGTCCTCTGAGACTCATTGCAATGCACAGCTGCCAGTCAAGCTGATGGGACAAAGGGGTGTACTATATGACACACTGAAGCCTCCAGGGCAACCAGGACAGATGAAGAGGTGATGGAGAGGCAGGAGAGGAGAAGCAGAGATATTTCTGCTTAGGGTGTGTCTTTTGTTCTTCTTTGGTTTCTTAGTGTTTTTCTTTTGTTTTTGCTTGTTTGTTTACTTTCTTGCTTACTTTGTTTTACTTTCTTTCATAAGGGAGATACAACAGGGATAAGGGGAAAATACGTGGGACTGGGAGGTGAACAGAATTGAGGACTTTGTGTTTTTCAGGACATGTCTGCTACCTTTGGTGAAATGTTGGTTTATGTTATTTCTTCTATTTCTTTTTTTTTTTACTGTTGAATTTTGATGGTGCTTTATCCTAAGTAATAATGCTTTGTCAGATAATCAAGGAATGACACTCAAGTTTAATCTCTGCCCTCTAGAAACACACATGTATAGATGCAGTTCCCCTGCTTATAAATACCCTCCTCATACATACACTATCTAACCTTGCTTCATGTGTTGAGGGGCACCTTATTGGTCATGTATTCAATTTATTAACATTGATTACAGCCATCTTCTCCCTTACTCATTCCTGATTGACTCTCACACAATTCATACACCTCCTCTTAGTAATACTACTGGAGACATGACTTTGGAGCACTGATTAGCCACGAAGCACCACTCTGGAGTGGACATGTTTAATTGTGAAGAAGTCAACCCAAAGCACAACATTGCCAAATGCAAATGTGTTTGCAGGCTCTTTCCCTCAATCTCCATTCAGTCCCAATGTCAGATGCTTCTATTGATCACAGTCAAATTCATGTCTGTGAATAAGCAGAAAGGGGACATAAGCTTCAAATCTGAAGTTCACTAAATGATAACAAGTCTATGAGCCTACAACGATGGAATTCACAAGCAATGAATTCAATCAACATGAGATTTATAAATCTTTTCTCTGCTGCAGCTTTGATTGTGATCCTCAGTGACCCCTGTCACTGAAAACAGTGTTTTATATTAATGAAATTGGATTTTCTCCTGTTTGCTTTTATAGGCCATGTTTTGGATTAAGATATTAAGAAGTCCTCTTAGTTCTGTATGTGGAACATATTTAAAAGCTTTTCTATTTTTATCTTAATGCATTATAGATTTATCATTTTAATTGAAAATGATTTTTTTTCATATATCTGTATATAGATTTCGTCCATCTACACGTCTCAATTTCTTCTTACCCTCCCTCCCATCTGAATCCACTCTATTTCTGTCTCTCATTTGAAAACAAATAGACTTTTAGGAGAAAATAATAAAACATAATAGGATAAAGCAAAACTCAACAAATCAGAATAGGACAAAACAGACAGACAGAAGGAAAAGAACCCAAGAAAAGGCAGAGGAAACAAATAGAGATGCAGAGATCCATTCATTTGCATGCTCAGGAATCCCATAAAAACACAAAACTAGAAAACTGAAAACCATAATAAATATGCAAAACCTGCAGTATAGTAAATAAATTATAAATAAATAAAAGTAAAAATTAATACTATATTTAAAAATAAAATTTAAGATAAAGCTCTGATATGACATTATAAGACAAGAAACCTCCAAAGGTACCATTGAATTGAGTTCATGTTCTGTTGACCAACCACTGTTGGGCATGCAGTCTAACGTTAAGAGGAGTTTGTTTCCCCAGTGCGACTCCCTTGGATACAACTAAGCTTTCATTTGCAAGTGGTTCGGAAAATGGCTCCTGAGTTAGGGATTGGAGCATGTGTCCACTTCTCCTTTCAACTCTAGGACCCTATCTGGTGCAGACTAGTGCAGGCCCTGTACGTGCTCCATCAGTCTCTGTGGGTTCCAATGACCCTGTATTTAGAGAACCTTGTTTTCTCAGTGCCCTGCATCTCCTCTTGTTATTACACTGTTTCTGCCTCCTGCTTCTTCCTCGGGTTTCCCTGAATACTGAGGGAAGGGATTTGATGGAGATACTCCATTTAGGGCTGACTGTTCCTAGGTCACTTATTCTGTGTATATTGTCTGCCTGTGGATCTCTGTATTTGTTCTCATTTGCTGCAGGAAGAAACTACTCTGATGAAGGCTGACCAAGGCATTGATCTATGAGTAAAGCAGAATGTCACTAGGAATCATTTTATTGCATTTAGTTTTTCTAAGTAAGTTCAATATTATGAACAGTAGTGTTTAGTTTTCCTCTAGGCCCCTGGGCTATCTAATCTCAGGTTCTTGCTCACTCATACAGTATCAGGTATGAGTTTCATCTTATGGAGAGGACCTTAAATTAGATCAGATATGGCTGGTTACTGCTACAAGTTTTATGCCACCATTGTACTAGGGTCCTGCATGTAGGATGCTATTATAGATAGAAGTGTTTGTATCTGTGTTGATGTTTACAATTTTCCTTTGGTAGTGTACAGGGCACTTTACAGTACTAAGAGCATTAGCCACTGTGGTAAAGGCTCTAGGTAAGCACCAATTTTATTTCTCCATAGTAAATGAGTTGTGTATGTCTTTATAGGTCTATATTTTTCATTTAAGTACAAGAGCAATTTGAAGACAGGTTCTTTTGTTTGTTTTTATTTTTATTTTTTGAGACCAAGTTTCTCTGTGTAACAGCCCTGGTTGTTCTGAAACTAGTTCTGTAGACTAGGCTGGTCTTGAACTCACAGAGGTCAGCTTGCCTCCACCTCCTGAGTGCTGGGATTAAAGGGATGTACTACTACTGCCCTATGTAAGGACAGGTGTTTTTTATGTAAAGTGGGGTTTTAAATTTGAGATTTGTTTGTTTGTAATTATTGTTTTCCGTGGGTGTTCAATTGCTTCAAGAAAACATGTTGAGAAGATTTTTCCTGCAGTTCACAGACTGTCCTCTCTCTATCTCTCTGTCTCTCTGTCTCTGTCTCTTTCTCTCTCTCTCTCTCTCTCTCTCTCTCTCTCTCTCTCTCTCTCGTGTGTGTGTGTGTGTGTGTGTGTGTGTGTAAAACAATAATAGGGTCATGAATATATGAAGGACTTGGCTGGAGCATAGAATAACTTTGAGTGGTATACATGATAAAAAATACATTTAGTACATTATCCATGAATGAAATTCTCAAAACAAAATAAAATACCCACAAATGTTGTTAGTGTGTTTATGCCCTTGTTACTATGGGGTAGAGGTGGAATTCTAGGTTCCCTATATGGTCTCCACTAAAACCAGGGTCATTACCATCTGCTAAAGATGAAAATCTGGATGGAAGATGGAGATGGAAGTTTGCTCTCAACTAACCGTCCAGGCGAAGTTTTCTTACAGCCTAGTAACTGTACCCTCTGCTGTGGGTGGAGGTTCTGACATTTCTATGTGGTACCGGCAGGAAGGACACAGACAGCTGTTATCTAAACGTTTTCTGTTTTGCTATGTTTTTCCCTTTTTGTTTGGCTGTGTGTGTATGTGTGTGTGTGTGTGTGTGTGTGTGTGTGTGTGTGTGTGTGTGTGTGAATAGGTGTGCATGTGTATGTGTGTATGTGCGTGGCATATATGTGTTGTCTATGTGTTTGTGTGTATATGGTGTGTATGTATATATGTGTGTGTGCATATGTAACATGTGTGTATGTGTCTGTGTATGCTCAGTCATTAGTGTTTCTAGTTTGTTGACTAAGACACGCCCCCCAATATTCTGTTTAGGACATAGGAGGCAAAAGCAGAAGGCGAGAAAGTCACTACCATGTCTTTCCTTCACTCCAAGTGCTTGGCCTATCTGCCTCCCCATCTTTGTCTCCTTGTGCTTATTTTGTGCTGATAGAGGTGATTTTTTGTTTTGTTTTGTTTTTTGTTTTCATCTTGTGCTTTGGGGAAAGGAACAGGAGAACATGAGCACTGACTGTTCTGTCTTTTAGAGGCAGATGCCATGCCAGGTAGTAACCATTTTTTTCCTTTATTTTGTTTTGTTTTCCCATCATTTATGGGCCTTTTTTTGTTTTTTTTTCATTTTACAGATACAAAATAAGCTCATAAAATTATACAGGATATTCAAACTCACTCAGCTCACACATGCCAGAGAAAGTTCATAAATTACAGATAATGTCATATTTGAGCAGCTCGAAACTGTCACCCAGACTCCAGTCATGTATCCATGTCTATCATGTGCACTTCAAAGTAACACCCACGGCCTTCACTAGAAATACCCCGTGGTTCCACTGACATGGTGGCACACACTTCCTAGCTAGAAGCACAAAGAGACAATGGTCACTGATCTGTCCATGGTCTATTTTCTTCCATTTTACCTTGTCTTATTTACATTTCACTCCATCATGGGTGTGAATGTGTGGAGAGAACAATTACACCAGAAATAGTCCTCGTGTGCATACAAGTGAAAGGGCGTTGACAGCAAATACCAGAGTGGACACAGATAGTGACACTAAGACCATTAGGAGCCTGTGTAGGAGTTCCAAACATGGACATGACGGAACAAACATATGGAAAAACAAATACACTGGGGAGAGTGGTTAGCACATATTCAGAAAAGGCAGCTTGCCCTCTGCATGCCCCAAGGAAGTGTGTGGAAGAAGGGAATACAGTACACACTCTATTTGATGAGAGAGCAAGCCAACTCATATCTGGATTTTCAGTCCTGCATTGTGTTATCTCTTTCCTAGATCAAAGAAGAAGCATATCTTCATAAGACTGTTATATGACCCATCTGTCCTTTTCTGTAGTGGCATCACCTCCAAACTTGCTCAGTCTCAATGTGATCTCAAGTCAAGTCTCACCATTTCCTGTCTCTTACCCTTTCATTGCTACAATAAATGCTTTCTTTTTTTCCTTCCAGTTGAATGCTTGGTATCTAGGACCTTCGATGATTTCCTGTGGCTTTCCATATTAAGTCTAGATCACTTTAGAAGACACATTAAGGAGTCATATTGTCATGGCCTGGTCTCTGCTCTTTTCTTAGGTATTACCAGATCCGAGTGACCTTGAAAATGTCCACAAGGATCCCCCACAGACTGAGTGCTTCCATCGTTGGCCAGTCAGGTGAGTAGAAAGCAGGGCTCCTGCCTTATGGCTAACCTATCATATGTTCCTGTGTGTCAAGGTCTAGCAGAACACAGGGCAATGCTCACTGTCAACAGTTGGACCAATGTGTTCAGGAAAGGCAAACCCACTTCTGGAAATGGTCCTATGGTGAACATTATTGTCAAGAGGGTTTAGCTGAATAAAAATCACCTTAGAAGTGGCTGGTAGCTAGGGGGAAGCTCTTTGCATCAGGTTGAATGAAGTCACATCATGGATGAAATGGATGACAAACAACATCCAGTTGATATGTAAGGAGAAACCTGTTGTTATGACTTCAGGGGACCAAGTAAGTATGCAGTTGTGCTGGTACTTTCTAGTCACAGTAGAGGTTCTGAATGCCATCAACTATTGTAAAAAGATGTTCAGGAAAAACCCAGGTCCTAATTTTGATGCTGTAGATCTAAGTGGAAATTCAAGACTTTGAGGAGCCAGTCTGACAGAACTCAGTGAGAAATACAGAACCTTGTGGACAGGAAATACTTGTGAAAAACCGGAGAGCAGAAGTACAAGGAGGTTCCAGAGCAAATCTGGCAGAAACCACAGTCTGGTGAGTCTTAGAAGAAATGATTCAGCCTTCAGGAAAGAGGAAGAAAAAGAAAGGAGATGGACAGGAAAACTGCACAGCACCTTCTCTGGAGTGAGCAGTCCCAGCTATGAGGTCCAGAGGCTGCTGGGCATGCAGGAGCTTTGGGGATCCATGGAGAAGGAACTGGCTGAGATGGTGCTGCAAAGACATAGAAAGCCGGCAAGAAATTCAACTTCAAGCTAAAGCCCTTTTCCTTTCTGGTCTAGTTTGACAGAGTAATAACTGTCATGTCTTTGAGTTTTGTACTTATATTCTGTTTAGAACAAAAGCCAACAAACACCAGCAGTGACTTATGATCAGTTTCATGGGTGAGAGATATAGTGTATATTTATTTCTCCTTCAAGGCGAATTTTCTAGTGATATCACATTCCTCTGTCTATGTCTACGTTGTCTACAAATCCTTCCAAAACTTGGTGCTTAAAACAATGTCCCATTCTGCTTGATTTTTCAAGCTTAGCCTCAGGATGCATTAGTGTCTCCTCAGGCCTCAGCTGGGATGGAACATTCAAGACTCCTTCACTGACAGGTCACATGGCAAGCTCACTGCTTGAAGACTTAGTTGAGCTTCTGCGTCTAGTTGGAGTACCAAACTACTTTACATGGTAGTTCCATTGCCAGGAGATAAGACAAAGAGAATTCTACATTGCTTCCTGACTATAAGTTGGACTGGTACATGGATTTTCTCCTGTATCTCAATGGTCAAATCTAGGCCAAGGCTGTCCATCATTACCTGGAAAGACAATGTATTCTACCCCTTCCTGTAAAGCACTCACTTTAAACCCTGTATGGTGAGGACACTGACAGCCATTTACAGGCAATTATCTAAACATACTTTCTATCACTTCTAGGTATTTTTACATAGGAAAAAAGATAAATGTGTGTTTTAGAAGCAAAATAGGAGGAAACTAAAAAATATCTAGGATCGTCAAAGTGAGGTCAATGGTGTCTTTAACTCCCATTAATTGACTTGTCTTGTCACTGTAGTATATTTAATTTGTTCTTTTGTTCCAATTGTATTTAATGTGGACATAGACAAAGCATACTGAGTCTAATGAGGCAGGAATAAGTAGACCAGAGTGCCGTATGCACATTGCAGTCCTTCTTCCCATTTTCCAAGCCTTGTGAAATCAGAAGTTGATCCAGCAATTGATTTCCTAGTGCCTCATCTGTGAATGGCATCACAGGCTTGCGGTGTGGACCAAATGAATTCTGTGAGGGAAATAGGTATAAAGTTGTTCAGCTCAGAGAAAGCTTAGGATAATTGTGCACTAGGCTAAGTGTAGCTGTCATGTGTAGTGTTGCTGTGTGGATGGAAGTTTCTGCCCTACCTAGTCCTGCAGCACTTCAGTCCCAAATAAACACACAGAGGCCTATTTCTCAGGCCTATTACTAACAAACTCATACAACGTAAATTAACCCATAATTCTTATCTATGTTTAGCCACATGACTTAGTAGCCTTTATCAGTAAGGCATTCTCATCTTGCTTCCTCTGCCTCTGGCTGTTGACTGTCTCTCTGCCTTTTCTCTTCCCAGAATACTCCTAGTCTGGTAGCTCTGCCTATACTTTCTGCCTGGCTACAGGCTACTGGCCAGTCAGTGTCTTATTAAACCAATATAAGTGACAAATCTTTACAGTGTTAAAAAGCATTATCCCACATCATAGCTGTTTACCTAACTATTCTGCTTTATGTAGAATCTTGGTCATATACTTGAAGATATAGGTGTTTTCATCAGATGGTCTCATAGTCATCTCATGAAATAAAAGTGATGAGAGTAATACAGTAGAGGCAGGGTTTGCTGACCCTGATGGAGCAAATAGCTGAGCAGGAACAGGGCAGTTAAGTAGAAAAAGAGATTCATAGTGGGGCCTGGAAGGTTGAGAAACTAGCTCTAGATGATGGTATGGAAGGATGATCAGTCAGAGGCCACAGTATGACCGCAATTGCTGTAACCAAAATGGGCCCCTAATTCTTTGTATCCATATGGATCAGATCTAGTGTATTGATGAGAACTGGGACCACAGGAGAAACAAGTCAGACTGGCTGGATTTGTGCCATATAACTAAGAGAAGTTTTGTCTGAAAGGCACAGAGAGATGAAGGTAAATACCTTGATCACATGAACCCAATGCTTTTCAAATGCAAGATGTTTTCAGCAATTAAACAGTGGGGATGCCTTCTCTCTCCTTCCAGCATGTTAGTAAATGTTACATGGAAGCAGATTTCCATGGTTCATATGACTTTGATGCAGGTTCTGTAGGTTCAGAAACTTCACATTGAATTTTCCAAGATAGATTTCCACGGTTATTTCATGATTAGATCCTGTAGAGCAAATTCCATGTGCATACCCTGTGTGTCCCTGAGTTACCTACCATATTACTTTTAAAAAGGTAATTTGGGTAGATTGTTCTCTGGAAATGGGTGAATTATTCTCTTCTTAGTTGTCTGAACATGTCCTTGAGTGGATTGTAACAAGCTCTGAGCTCGTGCTGGTTAGGTTAGGATCAATCCTTCCCTTGGGCATTCTAAAAGATCCCAGTGTCAGAGAAGGGACAAGTACTCGATTAGGTGACAACTGTGATTGGATTAGACATGCTCACAGGCATTAGTGTAAGGCACAAAGGAGGGATACCTCTGTGTGAATTTAGGGACACTAGAAAGTGCAGGGTCCTGGCATAGCTGGGTTTAGGCCCTGAGATGGGAAGGGCCTTAGTGCACAAAATGTCTGATCACCAAGTAAGTTTCACACAAGTGACAGCCCCAAATATCCTGAACCATCTTTATTTACACTTCAAAAGCAAACATGTTTTTCCCACTCTCCAGTGTTAACCTCAGGCAGAAACAGACATGTTTTCTCAGCTTCTGAATCAAAACAACTTTTAAACCAAAAACAACACTGCTCTGCATTTTGCCAGCTTGGCTAACTATCAAGCTGGGTGCATCCTGTCCTTACAAAGCTAAAAGGTGATAGGCATAGACACACATTCTCAAGAACAGTGATATCATTCAAAACTTAACAAAGCACATTTACAGAAATAGGAGGCATTTGCCATAAGCTGCTTTCATGTAATTAGTTTGTATTTCTCTGACTGTTTGCTTGTCCTGCAAAGGGGTCCTGTATGCCTAAGACTCTATACAGGGTGAACTTTGATAAAGCACTCATTTTCCATCACGCCACACCATTCTTTGAATTGGGAGGCATAGTTGATGTCCCCTATGTTGCTTTCTTATATGTGCCCATTAACTTTTATTGCCTCAGATCCTGTCAGCACTGAATCAGAAAAGTTCCCAGGGCCTGGGGTGACAGCTGGTATTTCCAGATAAGAACCTGAGAAGCACCAGTTCCCAAAGATTTTAAGGGAAAATATTGGAGAAAAAATGGGGTTCTTGGGAATGATCACATCTGTCCCATGTGTGACTGTCAAAGTGAAATTAAAAGCCACCAAGCGAATCACCAACATTATAAAAGAGAAGAGAGTGTATAGGTCATGCTGGCCCATCGGTATTCATCACTGCCTCAAGGTCCACTTGTCCTTGCCTAGTAAGAGACCATCTCCATGAGTTTTGTCTCACAGAGACCCTTTGGACAAGCATTCATATGCTGATCTGAAAGTAGGCTACCACGTGGCTCCTAACAGGAAATTTTGGCCCTGACACTAGAGTCTTGATTACTACCAAAATAGGAAATTAGGGATTACAGGTGGTTATATAGGGCATCCCTCAACTGTCATAAAATCTGAAAGAAAATAAAGACTCATCATGTTGTCTCTCTGTTCTACTTTTGATGTCATTACAGCTGGGAAGCGGTAGATGCTATCTAAGAGGCAGATTGTACACACTGTTGTCAGACCCTGCATCTATGCACGCTAAATTTCCACTCACCTAACTCAGAGTCTTCAACCTCCAAGTCAGGTCGCGAAGGATTTGAGAGCTTTTTGATGGGGCTACTGTACCATGATTGATACATATTGTAAAAAGGGCCAGACAGATTTCAGCCTATTATCAAAGAAGACTCTTACCATGGTTTTAATGAGAGCTCATGAATGGAGTCAACACATGTGTTGCAGTGTGAATCAAGTGTGAGACGTTGGGAACTGCAATTTGAGTGAAGAGGCAAAGGTTGGATGGGGATACTTGTGATGTGGACATCATTTGCAGCATTGCCATGAATTCTTTAAGATGTTTGACCATCCATCTCAATGCCAGGCTGTGAAGTTCCGTCTTATCCTTTCAGTGTGCCTTGCCCATGGCTGGCTAGCTAAACACAGTGGCAATGGAGTACACCCCGGAAGCCATGCTTTTTTCTTTTGTATAGTCATGGTCTCTAGAGGAACAGAGCAATATAACAAATATGTATTGCAAAGGGGATTTAT